AGTTATGGATGCACGCGGGAAGTTTGGAGAGCACGAAAGATGCGTAAGAGTTGCACGAGGCGATAGCCGAGTGCAACTCTAGCTTCTTGAGTGCTCTCCAAACTTCCCAAGTGCATCCATAACTCGATATACGCACAGCTAAAAGCATGAGCAAATTCTTTTATAACATAGCTGACAAAAATGATTGTTTTTTGATTAACTGCAAAATTCTCTTAACGTGTGACACAATAACAAACGGTTCTATTGGCTGATTATGAACACGCCACAATCGTCTAGTTTGAATGAAAATATCCTTTCTGTAAAAGTGAGAAAGAAAATTTGCTTCTTTATTCGTTAACGATCAATGGAAACTAAGCAGAAACAAAGGTAAAAGAGTCTTAAAGTTCACCTAAAGTTAAAACTAACATGTTCATAAGAAGTCGTGGAGTATGATTTGGATTTGCTGAAAAGATGTTTACGTTTTGCTCGGCGAAATCCAGAAAACATGTTTTTAGTGAAGACGACTGTCATCCTTCTTTAAACTTATATTCATTTACGAACATTGGCTGGTCATTACGGCTTCTTGAGGAGACCTGGCAGCAGTTGTTTTTGTGAGTAATAAATTTATGTCTTCTTGTGTAATTTGTGTTGTTATTGCGATAGAAATTTTCCTGCTTCAGTCGGATTGTCCGGAGATAACAAAAGTGCATAACAAATTTAAAAACAGCAATAAAAACGGAAATTTTGCCTTTAAATGTTGTTGATGACCAGTTGGTGTCTGTTCTGTTCCCAGTGAAGGTCTTTCGGCCAAAATTTGCTGCAGCTGGTCTTCGACAAATTTGCGAACGGCGCGCAACTTGCGAGATTTTTTATTTTAATTCGGCTTTATTTTTGCTGCTGGTTGGATCAGGACCTAAAAGGTCAATGCCGATAGAAAAATTGGGCAGTTCTTGGCTGGTTTCTTCCATATTCTAAAGAGAAGGAAAAGGGTACTACAGCTTAAAAGACGACAACTTTGCACCCAGGTAAAAAAAAAAAATGCTCACGTCATCTTATTTACGCACGGGCGTGCGTAAATAAAGATTTTGTTCATAGCGGCTCAATAGGAGTTATATAGGGCAAGCACGCGCGCTATGTTATAAGGTACATTTTGTGTGTTTTTTATAGACGAGAAAGTCTGTTTGAAATGCATATTTATCAGTGAGCATTGTGTTATTGACTTTTTGGTCAAGCTGATACTAAATTCAAGCAAATTTTTTAAGAAACACGCTCAAATTCGAGACAGCTTTGTTGTGAAGTTTTCATCACATCGATGAAAAATTTTAGTTGAGTTTAAACGGGCACATTACGCTGGAATAAGCGAATCTCATTTAAGCGCAGAAACATTTGGGCCTTCAAATAAATTTTTCAAAAAATAAATTCTGTGTGTATTATTTTGTCCCTCAGTGTTCATTCATAAAGGTCGTTCAGAGAACGGTCGAAAAACAACAGCTTCAGCGCCGGCTATGTGGCGGCGAATTTCAGTTGCAATTTTGACTTTCATAGCTGGATTTCCCCAGACAGATTTCGACACAAAGCTAGTTAATTTCTTTTTAGAATTGGTGTTACCTGTTATTCTAAAGGAATTAAAGTCAAATTTACGTTTATTTCAAAAATTGTCACATAAATAAGCTTGATGATTATTTCATTTATTTAGTTTAAGCTTATTTTTTAGAGTCTTTTTAGTTGGTGTTTATATAGTTATTACCCTAATATTAAGGGCAAGTAGACCGATGCCATTCAGAATAACAACGTTTTGCAATTTACCTGAAGACGGAGAACGGTTGATTCAGCGAAAGAAAAACTCAAAGGCAAGTTTTTGAAAAACGTAGAACATGATTTGTTTACACGCGGGCAGATGGCAGCATACATGAACTCGGACCGATGACTCAACCGAAGGCAAATGGAAAATAATGTTTTTCTCTTTTGATTATGTTATAAAAGAAATGGTAAACGTTAAAGCTTTGCAACCATGGAGTTATGCAAGTGAGTGCATCCATAACTCCATGGTTGCACAGCTGCAACGTTTGCCATATACACCATATACATACTGAGAAATACTCACCAAAAAGCTTTGTCGAAAATTTTGTACGCAAATTAGCTCTAGCCAATCAGAGGAGCGAACGATGGTTTTCACACGTGTGAGAAAAATGATACGTCCAATCAGAAGCCACAGAGGTGTGTGAGTTTCGCGCCAAAATTCCCGCCTTTTATTGCAGCTTGCAGCGCCGCCTCGCACACATTCAACAGTCCGGAATATCCCTAAATTTAAGGACAGGGCCAACTGGTCACGCGCCACTTTTCAACCAATGAGAAGGCGCGCTTGTGTTTATCAACAAACAAATCAAAACATCGCCCCAGTGATCAAAAATTTTCAAAACAACGGACGGAGTCGGGCAGAATCAGTCATCGTTTCGAGTTTCTCAGGCATATTTTTAAGACTTTTCATGAGGCATACACAATTTTTTTAAGTGGACAGCGTATCGGAATCCATATTGGAAGTGTCTCGTGAAATATTCAGCACATTTTGTGGCTTATTCTTCTTTTATCTTTTAAACAACGCGATGTATAGGAGAGATTTTGGTCGGCTTTCAAGGTAGGTGAACAAGTATCTATTATTTTTTCGATTCACAGATTTTTTTACGAAGTTCTAGATATTTTTCCTCGATTGTCGTATCGATTAACTTTTATCATGTTGAATGTGGGGATGGCAGACAATCTAGCATTTTGGTAGACAATTTTTGAATTTCGAGGTCCAAAACACGTACGTTTTCCACTCCCGGGTTTCTCACAAAAGCCGTGTTATTACTTTTTTTCGCATTAGTACGAACCTTTGCCTTTTTTCTTTTCAAGGCCAAAACAACTTTATTAGTCTTATGGATATTCACGTCCGACATCTCGCCTCACTTTGCCGAATTTGCGGGGATGAAATTGAAGATCATAAGCGTAAGGTAGATACTAACCTCTTTGTTTCTGAAATTTACTAATCTGGAAAGATTTAATGTTGTTGGATTCTCCAAAATGTTCATCCGCCGTTAAAAAACAATCAAAGAAACAAGGCAAATCTCAATTGTAAATGCTGTATTTCGCTACTCATTGAACATGCACTGATTATCTGGGATCAAATTAAAACATTGCAGGTACTACAGCAAGCAAGGAAAGCACCAGATGCGTGAAGTCAACACGAAACAACACAAAAAAACAAACAAGAAAAATTAATAAATTTGAACTACTTTCTATAACTTGTTATGATGACTGGTTCTTTGATTCTTGTCCTGTAGAAGTTAATAGGTAGTACCAATGCTGTTTTGTAGTCTTTTGTACGATCTCAACGAATTTTCACACTCTCTCTAAGGCTATTTTTACGCGGGACGCGGGACGAGTTTGCTTCTATCAAAAACTTTGCAAGCCATGCCAGTGAAGCCATGACCTCTGCAATCGGTCCGGAAAGAGTTCGAACACCCCAATGATTCCTTGCAATGATTAATGCTCTTATTCTCTTACATGACATGTTTTCTTTGAAATATTAAATGTGAAACCTTGACGAGTACTGTAAGCTCATCTTTAATTTTGTCCGACTCCGTCCGTTGTTTTCCAAATTTTTGATCACTGGGGCGATGTTTTGATTTGTTTGTTGATAAACACAAGCGCGCCATCTAATTGGTTAAAAAGTGGCGCGTGACCAGTTGGCCCTGTCCTTAAATTTAGGGATATTCCGGACTGTTCAACGAGAAAAGTTTTATTCAAAGAGTTTTTCTCGCTAAAAAAGTGAAAAACATTTCGGAAATGGAGTGAAATAGTTTCGTTTGTTTCACTGTCGATAAAGAAAACGGTAGAGAGCCGGGAAAACAACAGCGGAAAGGGATAAACAGAACCAGACGTAAGCTTTTGTTGTGCTTTTTGTCGGAGCTACTTTGCCTTTCATTTATTAAAGCTTAAGCTTATATTAAAACCGGTCATTTTACTTCAATTCACTCATTTTCAATTGTGCATTGAGAACAAACAGTTAAGATTACTTATAGTTCTTGGATTACCTCATATCGTCACCGTCATTTATGTTTTTAACAAACGTTTTTACTGAAAAGCGGATACTTCGTTTTCGTTGTCATTTTGCAGTAAGTGTGTAGCGGCAAATTTTAGCATTTTTGAAAGATTTAAAATAAAAAGGCCGCAAAAATGATGAATGTCTCAGTCTGTATATAATAAACACAATACCACATGGAAAGTGCTTTGTACGGTATTTACGCACTCGTTGTTTTTGTATCAGAAATCTTACTCGTTCGCAGCGCTCACTCGTTCGATTTCTGATACGTCAACAACTCGTGCGTAAATACCGTAGGCCAGCACTTTCCATGAAGTATTTTCTATTTAAATGGGTTACTTAAATCACGGCCGGATTAAGCTGAAGTTTATAATAGGTCAGGTGCAGAAGGAGTTTTGTTCCCAACTAAAGTACGCGTAAGATTCACGATCCACCAACACAAAGGTTTTTGGCATGACCACAAATATTTATAGTAAACGAAGTAAACCGAAAAAGGCTGTAATACTAAGGCCTTTGCCTAGGCCAAACTTTTCATGAGATGAACCAAGCTTAGTGAGTTAAGTTCATGAAAAGTTCGACTCGTCTGGCTAAGTTAAGTTGCTGACGGTCCAACACGTTCTATCCATCTGCTTCAGACGGACAGAACGTTTAAAGAGAGTCTCGGGACAAACGTCGATCTTCATATGCGACGAACGAAAGTAATAAATTAAAAATTCCAGACCCTGAGGTAACGGGAGAAGCTCAGTCCCGAAAATATACCATTTAAATATACTATTCAGAATATTCTACTTTATAAAAACCAAATCAATGGATAATGCAATTCTAGAGCTCTGATTGTCTCAGCCATTATTGTATATTTAACAATTAATGAATGAGGCTGAGTATCTTATGAAGAATTATGGAGATCGAGGAGGGAGTTACGGCCGCGACGGATAACAGCCTCCGAGATCTCCATAATTCTTCATAAGATACTCAGCCACATTCATTAATTGTTAATTATACCATGCTCTCCAAATATGGTATCTGAACGAGTCTGCTCAAAATTAAAAACAAGCTGAAAATCGGTTGTTTTTACAGATAAAGTCGGAAAGAATTCTTGATATTTTGTAGGCCTTTTATAATAAAACAATTATTCCACTCATTGTTAAATAGCCAGCGAAAAAAGCCGTCCCTCCTCGCCGCTTGGAACTACCCTAGCGGCGAGGAGCGAACTGAAGAGATAGCTGTTTGCCCAGGCTTATATATTACTACTGTCTTTGAAAAAGAACAGATTTCCGGAAGTATACTAGACGAATGAAGAATCTCTATGATGATTTAACCAGTCTTCTGTCTTATTTCACCTTATTTTGAATTTGTGACGGTCATTACTCAAAGGCAAAATGGAGTCCAGAACCCTCTAGTTTGCTTAGAAACTCGCTTTCAAATTTCGCAGACAACTCAGGTGTAAAATGTTCCTTCCAGCCTCCGACCTGACCTTTCCTGAGAAAGTTTGGCAATTTGTTGTCTTGAGTCATCATCCAGTAAGCTTCTGAATTTTTGGCCATTTCGTCAAAGGAGCATTGCTTAACGATGCGTTTAAGAACCTGTTCACTAAGTGGCTTTCCCAGGAAATCAGCGATAATCGTCACCTGGGAAAGCAGATCCTATCAAAACAAATAAAAAAAGGAATGATTATTTTATTTAAAATTTTAACCACGGTAGATTTAGAAAAAAGAAACAAAAGAAGAAGAAGAAGAAGAGGAGAAGAGGCCCACTCATGCAACGAAGATTAACTCCATTATTTCTTTCCATGACATTCAAGATACATCCCCCCCCCCCCAAAAAAAAAAAAAATCCTGGTTCAGGCCTTTCAAGCAGGCTTTAAATATCTCAGTTTAGTTCCCTTATTGTTATACACTTCACAGTCTGCAATAGTTATAAAGTTACATCTGTAATATTATCACCCTGGGGCCCGCATTATCACGCACCTCTTTCAAGTCTTCATACTTAAGGAACAAAACGTTGGAATCATCTCTGTGTTCCCACCAGCCGAGCACATGCTCCAGCCAAGACCCCCAAAACGCTGAAATGAAAATTAATACAATAAGCTTATTTACCCTGATCATGAATGAGAGTCATTGAAAACTACCCAAATATATACAATATACAAATCTATTTGCCCAATATTTCGACTGGACAAAACTTAGCTTGAGACCAGGTTCCGCATTGGGGGAAAAAAGAAAAAAATCGGCGTGGGCGAAAAAAAAATCGAGAGGTAGAGGAGAGGTAGTCTAGGGAGAGAAAATGGTGGCCCTTTCCCCCTCCCCAAAACACCGCTCGCCCAATAGACGAATTTTTGTGTAAAGAGGTTACTATTAAAATATATATCAATAGATCAAGTTTCATCTCGTCCGTTCCTCCCACAGGGTTCAAGTATTTTGCCAACAGAAATTAAAAATCCTTCGCGGGCCTTATGAATACTGTCCCTGTGTTCGAACGAAATGAGTTCTATGTCCTTGATGGAATGATCTGGAAGAGAGAACTGGTCTGAAACGGCGGTAGGATGGTTAAATTGATGTTGATTTAAGGCTTTTTCTATGGAGCGTGTTTTAATAAGCTTACTTTTTCCCTCCAGAAACATCTTAGCAAAAAATTCAAATGGTCCTGAATATCCAGTAAGAGGCGCCATCTTGCTTTCGAATTTGTAGTAAGAGACAACGACATCTTTAGGATTTCTAGCAACGTAGATGTATTTGCACGCTGTGGCATCACTAGCTCCTTTAGGTATTGTATGATATGGCTGATGAGTCTTCATAAGGCGGGGACTTGGTTGAGTTGTAATATCTGGCTGAGTAGTACCAAGATATTTGGCTTCATCAAAGAATTGTACGCGATGTCCTATTGGCTCACTACTGGTTTTCCCGCCATTGTAGATTTGCCACGTGATTTCCTGAAGCCACGTAGTTCCTGAAAATGAAACAATAAAAAGAGTCAAAAAGCACTCTGTTGTGTAGCTTTTACCGGAGGAGGGGGGGGAAGCACTTATGGAACGTTTGGCGGTTCAAGGCTTCAGGTCCAGAACGACTCCCTGTTGAAGACGCTAAATGGTATATATATACGCTGATAAAAACTATAGACGCCAACAACCATATCATGTTCCGCGGCACATCCCTGCTTAAGCCAAATAAGGGCATGCCCCCGGGAATAATTATTACCCGAAAGCCCCATGACGAGCTTTGATGGAGGAAAAAAATTATGCTAATTGGGCGAGAGGTAGGTTAAGGCTTGCCTAGTCCCCGTACAGCGTCTTTCCAGGCCTTCTCCGTCAATGCATTTTGGTGACGTATCCGAGACGAACGGCCGGGAGACGCCTATTGAGACGCCTAGACAACCTCAGAGTGCGCATGCCTTTGTTTTTACCCCAAAACAAACAATATGGTGACCATTTCTTCGGCTTCCAACGCTATCTGGGAAACTTTCTCGAACAACGTGACCCGAAACGCATCGGCCGCGCACAATAATAAGGTCTCGGGACTAGGCAAGGTTAAGGCCAAAGTTGTCCCAGGAAAGAGGGTCGCCCTATCCAGCTGAGTCAACTTTCATAGCGAGCGTTTATATGAGGCAACAGCGCTCGCGCATGATCTGATTGTCTCAGCCTGTGATTGTCTCGCCTTGACCGAGTAGACCCTGCTGGGCGAGCCAAAGTGTTTATATGCAGAAAAGTTTGTCCGGGATAGGAGCCGAGCTCATATAAACGGCTCGCCGTGTTTTGAAGGGAAATGTAAGAACGGACGGCTTAAATGCAGAATACCCTGTTACTTGAATAATATTCAGACTTGCCACAAGTCTACCTCACGTCCAAGTTTCTAATTGAGCGGAACGACCACAAGTCGATCTCTCGAGTTCCTAAGCCAGCGGAGCGAGCTTTTTAATCCGCGAAGCTGCCGAAAGAACGACGAAGTTAAAAGTCTAGGACAATATTCTACGTAGCCGGCTACGAGAAACTAACTAAATAAAGAACAAATTCAAAACGGCTTCCTGTGACCGCGTAGCCAACTGCAAGAATAGCCTTACATCTTCATTTCATTCAAGACTTTTGTAATGGCCCGAACCATAGCCATGTAATATTGGGGACTGGGTCGATTTGTATTTCTCGTTTGACGGGGTGGGGGATATACGGGAATGATCTCCAGAGCCTGGTATCTCCATAGATGATGTACTCAACATAAAAAAAATCAGCGAAATACAGTAAACAAACCCGCTTGAGCGCTCCCCTCTGTAACCAGCAAACACGTCAGTAGGTCTAAACATTTCCTCCCATAAAACAAACCAGTATTCAAGGAACATCTCTATTTTAAAAAGGGGCTGTGTCACGGCAGTCTAGTTCACTTTGTCAAATTGCTAATTACGCCCTAATTCGCATTCGTTATAGCCTCAGTATCAGGCCTTTTTAACGGGCTAGGGGAAAAGAGTTGCTTTTCTCTTCCCCCTTTCCCCCACAGAAACGCCTGATACTCAGGCTACATTCGTTCCCCGGACTGTACTCTACAAATGTTTATACGGGGAGGCTCCGCCCGGAGGTCCAACTCCTTACCCTTTTATATACCAAACTTAACACATATGATCCAATGTAAAAGATGTGAAAAACAATATATAGGTGAGACTAAACGCACACTTTATGAACGCTTTAAAGAACATAGACAGGCAACAAACAATTCACTCCACGCAAATGCCACAGCCGCAGTCCCTTCCCACTTAAATCAACCGCTGGAATTACAACCCACTCTCAGCATGTCACGCCGTAAGGCACGAGAAGCATTCCTCATAGATAGAGGCAAAACCCTGTCACCAGACGGTCCGAACCGAAGGAATAAACATTGAGCTTTTTCTATTTTTATTGTTTATCTTTCTATCTAGTATTTACAATTGTACTTAATAATTAACCACTTACGTAAATTTCAAATTTAACTTTTCGGAGCCGTTAGCCTAAATATTGGCTTTTATATGGAGGAGAGTGTTTTACTGGGAACTAAACCACTCGTAGATTCCATACGCCACTTCATCCGGGACCCGAGTGGCGTATTTTCCGTATGTCACCTTTGTGAGTGTCGTATCGTTCAATGACGTCTCGATTCCTGCCTTTTGCTTTTGTTGAAATGGTTTCTCCATGTAATAAAAAGAACATTACACGTTGACTCGAAGATATGAATTTTATGTTCTCGTGGCAAAAACAATATCTCACTCGTTCGCTTCGCTCACTCGTGAGATATTGTTCTTGCCACTCGAACATAAAATTCATATCTTCTCGCCACCGTGTAATATCCTCTATATAATAAATCAGCCCTTTGTCGTAGTGCCAGCCTTGCATTCAGTTTTGTTTTATAAAATTCATCTGCCGTGTTAGCCCTTTTGGGCCCTTCCAGAGACCCAAAGACAGATTTCCGTACCCTTTGTGGCTATCGATACTTGTATCAATATAAATCTAGACCACCCCCCAAAGTAGCGTACATGGGATCTGGCGGTGCCATCGGCAAAATACACTAAGGATGTAAAATTACTACGATCACAGTCAGACCTGTTAGTGGGGGCAGTTGTTGATTGAAATCTGAGCAACGTTCTTTTGTTATTTTTAGAAGAAATACATATGAACAATACGGTGGCTATAATTTGTTCCAAAATGGAGAATTTAAAGCAAATTTTTCAATAAAAGTTTAAAGAAAATGTTAACTGAGTCATGTGTCATGTTTTTTTCGCCGTCTCGTGCTGTTTTAAGCGCTATTTTGCAAGATGAATATTTGACCTCGGCGGTTAGAACTAAAGAAGGAGAAATATCCGCGCACTCTGATTTTAGAACTCTTAACACCCACAGAATCACGCCATACCACGTGTCTTCTGGGTGGGTGTTAAGAGTTCTGGGTCAGGGCTAAAATCAGAGTGCGCGGATATTTTTCATCAGAGCCTGATCTCTGGTTGTTACGCCATACTGACGAGCCCCAAAGAGGGCGAAACAGCTGTCTATGGCTACACTGTCCCGCTCTGTTTTGAGTTCTTTCGATGTCGTGTTGATGTCTTGCAGAGTTAATTTTCACGTAGTACGATCAGCATTGCAGTATTCTCCTTGCAGAATTTAATATGTCTACATTATTATTTTTGCTGATCAGGTCTTTATAGATCCTACGTTCTGCGGCATATTCGTTTGCGGTCCTGTGCAGTCCCTTGTGGTTAATGTTATCACTTTAGTACTCTATTACAATATGTTTATTAAGTAACGGAAGCGCCTACGTTATATTCCCTGCTAACAGAGGCCTCTTTTCCCTGGTATTCGACGGGCGGAAGGGAAAAGACGCCGGTCGTATACCAGAGAAGTTGCTATGGGACTCGTTGGGCGTAGTTACTAAAACGTGGAACGACCTAAAACCACCTAAAACCACCTAAAACCATCTACAACCACCCACAACCACCTCAAAAAATTCAACAACCACCTACAACCATCTACAACCACCTCAAAAACATCTTCAACCACTCGCAAACAATCTAAAACCATCTAAAACAAGGTATAAATGTCTGAAATAAGGCGAGACGACAACATGTCACGTACATGAAATACGAGAATCGAACAAAACATCCACTTCCCCCTACAAAATCTTACTCTCCCTGGTCCCTTGTATCATCAACCATTGGCTTAAGTCACGAAATGAAATGCGAGATCATGCTAAGTATATTAAAAGACTTAAAGAACTTTACAAAATGAACTATCAAGTCACAAAAAATAATAAAATAAAATAACAAACTCGTAGACGAAAGACTGACTTGATTTGGCTTTTTCTACCCTGGGTATTAGTGAGACGTTTTGGTTCACCTTTCATTTGTTTACGTAATAGCACAAGGTAGGGTTTCTCTCTCTCTCTCGGAGTCTGCTTCACTGCTGTTTTGTTCTGAGGTGGCGGATTACATTCCTAAGAACAAGTTAATTTTTTAGCATCTGTTTATCATCCGCCAAACATGTTTGTATATTCCAGGTGACTCCTTTAGATGAACCTACCCCGCTTCCTTTTTTCCCTTTTTCCCTATCCCCTACCCCTTTCGACGCCTGCTACGCAGGCTAGATGAACCCTAGTGTCTTTCACACCCGTTTCCTGTGTCATCATTGTGTCATCACGCAAGGCTAAACTCCCTTGCGTCACGACACGGAAACGGGGACTAGTAGGTGTAATCATTGTTAAAAATGTTATTAAAAAAATCTATAATGCAATCTTATTTCTTAGTTTTGTGTTAAGCCAATGGTTGATGATACAAGGGACCAGGGAGAGTAAGATTTTAACGGGAAGTGGATGTTTTGTCCGATTCTCGTATTTCATGTACGTGACATGTGTCGTCTCGCCTTATTTCAGACATTTTTACCTTGTTTTGGATGGTTTTAGAGTGTTTACGAGTGGTTGTAGATGTTTCTGAGGTGGTTGTAGATGGTTGTAGGTGGTTGTTGAATTTTTTGAGGTGGTTGTAGGTGGTTGTAGATTGTTGTAGATGGTTTTAGGTGGTTTTAGGTCGTTCCATGTTTTAGTAACTACGACTCCTTGGGAAAATAACTGATCGTATAAGACCGTATAACAGCTATCGCATAAACAAATGGTCATTTGTACCCCTATAGATCTACATCTTACCTGATCGTGGGATACCGACGATAAAAACATCGTCGATTCTGGTTTGAAACTTGTCAATGAATTCCTCAAATCCTGTCTTGTAGACATAGACTGAAGGCATCCTCACTCCTTTGACGAACGAGGTTTTGCTATTTCGATAGTCTCCTTCTACTTCTTGTATAGGATCTTGGCTTGCCATGAAGGAAAAAAGGTTATAATTCTGCTGTTTGCAAAGAAATGGGAGAAAACTGATATCCAGTTCAATTGAATCCTTGGCTGAAATAAACGATCAAAAAGAAAAGAAAGATCCCAAACCTCCTTTGGGGTCAGCATAAAGGTCATAAAGTAACATAGGTTCTGTAGTCTAAAAGATCATTTGATTACCTTCTGAGCGTCAGATTTCACGTGTAGTTTCACGTGACGTTTGATGAACGTTGGGGGTGTTTACATAACACCGGGGCGACTTTCGCCCCCGAGCGAGTTCACTCCGGTTCCCTCTCATGGTTCTATATTTGTTTACATCAGTCCCACCACAAAATGTCATGCCAGCGCGAGTCAGCCCGGCGTGAGTTCACCCCGGTTCTTGTACCGGGAAGAGAATTTCACTCCGGTACGAAATCTCGCAACGCGAACCAGAGATCAGGCTCTGATGAAAAATTATCCGCGCACTCTGATTTTAGCCCTGACACAGAACTCCTAACACCCACAGAGTCACGTTGGGGCCGTAGATCTTTTAAAGATCCGATATGCTGTAATTTTTGCATGGTTTTGTCCATGTTTTCTAGCTTGGTTTTGGCCAACTCTTTATTTGCTCTGCGATACATCAACTTGACACTTGGACTCTTGCCCCCCAGAAGACACATGGTACTGTACAGTACCGCAAATGATCCCCAACCGCAAATGATCCCAAGACCGCAAATGATCCCCAAAATGGACCGCAAATGATCCTCGACCGCAAGTGATCCCTAAAGTCTACCGCAAATGATCCCGTGAAAACTTGAGGAATGGAATGGATTTTATGGGACTGATTACAAAAAAGGACTGATTATAAAAAAGAAACCTTTTTTTCTCGCCTTTTAAAGAAAAAGGGAAGGAGGAAGCTACATCTCAGGTCAATTTATACAAGGCGAAAAAAAAATGGAATAAATCTGAAAAGGTATGGTATTAACCGTATACTTCTTCCTTTGTCGATTGCTTAAATTTTCTTTCAAGAATGTTTCGTCTTTTGAAAAATTTAAGACAGGCAGGACGTTACGCAGAAAAATTATTTTAACGCCTAGAAGCTCAACCTTTCTATTGAGGAATACAAAGCCGGGCACCCTCTACCTAACAAGAGCTTTATTGACTTTACTGATCTTTTTGAAAGCGTGAAATTAATCAGCCAGAATATTTCATTTTGATTTTTCTCTGAAGTGTTAATTTTATGTGATAAACAGCAAGACGTTTGTTCGTAACTTAGGTGCCCATTACGAAACAAGACATGATTTAACATAAACACAAGTCAAAATGCCCCCGAACTTATCAATGTCCACAGGTTTCGGTTCATTTCGAAATAGCAACTTTCTTACATCTCATGAACGTGTTGTGAATAGTTATATTAGCGTTTTTATGTACATTCATTTCTTCTGCTTTGCTGAAGACAGTTACCAGAAATCTAAACCTGGTAATGAGAAACGCAAAGCCAGGTAAGCGGTAGTTATCGCGTGACAAAACATCGCAAGAAACCGTCACATTCACGGACAAAAAGAAAATCGCTTATGATTATTCGGATCCAGGAGGCACTTAGGAGAAAATTAAACAACCTAAAACCCTTATTTAACGGCAATGAAGAGCACTGTATTTCAAAAGAGGTCAAAGGAAATGCTCTTGCATCAAAGGGCAAATCATGCCGACCAAAAACAACAATAACCGCAGAAAATGCGTGTCATGACCTCTCACTATGAAATAAGCAGCAAAAATCACATTTGCTCAGTCAAAACGTTTTCCTCAGAGGTATAATCTACCCGCCAGAGCCGGAAAAAAGTCATTGGAACAAGCAGCATTTTAGCATGAGGTAAAAGTCGTGTGTTGCCTACCTACGTCGTGTTTACTCTTGAATGATTTTTTTCATTTAGTTTTTATTCATATATTTATTTGAGAAGTAAAATTTAGCTTTTAACCTGACTTATTGTAATAATAATAAAATGGACACGATGATCCGCTAACTTGAGTCCAAGTCATTCCTGTTTTTCTTTCGGGATCATTTGCGGTCAACTTTGGGGATCACTTGCGGTCGAGGATCATTTGCGGTCCATTTTGGGGATCATTTGCGGTTGGGGATCATTTGCGGTACTGTACAGTACCCTCGACCCTCGACATAGCCTGCGTAGCATGGCGGTTTTGTCGAGCCGGGCGCAGGAGCGGCGTAGCCACAAAAAAAATTCGCGCGCGAAGCGCGCGATAACGAGCGGCGAAGCCGCGAGAAAAATATGGGGATATGCATTTTCTTTTTTAAGAGAAAGGAATCAGAGCTGCCTTTCAGGAATATGTTTCCTTCGGGCTGACATCTTCATGGCGCATTTTATAAAGATAACTTTTACCGCTTTATCAGAGGAGAGGAACTTCCCTTCTTTTATAGTGTTCAGTATTCGAAGTAAAGAAAGCCGACTAAACGGCGTCTAAACCGACCGTAGGACACAGAGTGGCTATGAACTAAAGGTGAGGGAGCTTTTTGAATCAATATTTCGCGTGATCATGATTTTTTGTTTCTTAGCGTTGTAGATTCGAATACATGTGATAAAATTCGAACAATAATGTAATAATGCAAGAAATATCGATTTTCGTTATCTTAAAGGCTGCTAGTACAGATAGACAAACAAGAAGACTTCATATCTTTAAGACCTTTTGCATTTATTTGGCATCAGATAATATACTAATAATTCTAGTATATTCCGACCAAATGACCTCTGAAGCCCGAACCCACAAATAGTGCGCTTGGGCTGCCTGTGATGCAACCATCAGGAAAAGTTTCTCCATAATAGAAGAGTTTTTTGCGAGGGTTTAACAAGTATGGCTTTCATTTGTTTCAGAAAGGTGCAAGAAATTATCAGCATAATTATAGCACACAAACATTGTCATCTAACTCCTCGCACATAGCCGAAATAAGCCGCCAAGTAATGAAGCATATAACGAACTGAAAAATCGTCCTCAAGTAAATTATACCTAAATTTGCGAAAGATATTGTTGTGTCTCCGTGTTACTCATCGAAAAAGTGAGGAGTCATCACATTAACTATATTAAACAGAGTTAATACTCACGGGTTTCACGAGTTCTGTGCAATATTTTCCCCGGGAAACAAATTTAAAACTTCAATTCTTACCTTACAGTAGTCCGTTCTTTTACCTTGCATTTGACAACGAATTAAAGGCGAACAAAGCGAGCTTTTTGCTAATGAAGAGCTATTACGTGGCGAAGCTTAAATTGGGAACTGACGTCAATGAGAGCATAAGAAGTGATTGTCACGTTCTCACTCAGTGTAGCAAAAAACTCTTCTATTATGGAGAAACTTTTCCTGATGGTCGCATTAAAATCTACTACACTGCATTTGCTCTCTGCAACCTCGTGGGTAGAATAACCTGATGGTTACACGAAAATCTAATAATCACGTCATTTCGGTCTCTGTAACCTCGTGGGTAGAACATACCTGATGGTTACACTAAAATCTAATAATCACTGCATTTCAGCTCTCTGTAACTGTTGTGTATTAGGACCCAGACTCCCTCTCGGTAGGACATTGTAACGCCTGACTATAGAATCAGGAGCCACGAGTCGTGTAGGCGAAATAAAGCCATCGTCCAAGGTTGAACCCGTTTTGAACCAAGTCCGTACACTGTGGTAAACAAGCACGGGAACAGCTTGATCGTGCAATCTCCAGGAGGAGCCCAATACTCCCGCAATACATCTCATGTAAAGAAACTGCTAGAGAATGGTGATATACATGATGATACACCAAGTGTACCTGAAGTGGTGGTGACCAGGGAGCCCCACAAGCAGGATAAACTGACCCCGCAGCAGAGTGTGGTGATACCGGAACCAAATGTTGTTGAGCCTGAAGTTCCACTTAGGAGGTCCCAGAGACACAGAGTGGCCCCAAGTTATCTCAAAGACTATTGTACTTAAACTTTAGAGACACTGAATTCTCACAGACATTGTTGACATTGTTGCTAGTCCATGTTTATGTTTATTGGACCAATTATTATTTTGCTTCTACTTCTGCTAAATGTTATTGTTTTCTATCTAAATGGGGAGGGATGTTGTGTATTAGGACCCAGACTCCCTCTCGGTAGGACATTGTAACGCCTGACTATAGAATCAGGAGCCACGAGTCGTGTAGGCGAAATAAAGCCATCGTCCAAGGTTGAATCCGTTGTAATCTTCCATTATTTGCCGACCAGATCGGTCACAACAGTAACCTTGTGGCTAGAACATACCTGATGGGTACACTAAAATCTAATAATCACACTGCATTTTGGCCTTCGGTAACCTCGTGGGTAGAACATACCTGATGGTTACACTAAAATCTAATAATCACTGCATTTCGGCTTTCTTTAACCTCGTGAGTAGAACATACCTGATGGTTACACTAAAATCTAATAATCACTGCATTTTCTCTTTGTAACCTCGTGGGTAAAAAATTGAATGCCTCTCTCCTGGAAATTTTGTCCTCTCCTCTGATAAAGCGGTGAAAGTTATCTTTATAAAATGCGCCATGAAGATGTCAAAGGACAAAATAAGCTGAAGTTTTCTAGCTAGCCCGAAGAGAACCTATTGCTGAAGGGCAACTCTGGTTCCTTTCTCTTAAAAAAAGAAAGTGCATATCCCCGTGTACCAGATTTTTGCCAGGGTTTAACAAGTATGGCTTTCATTTGTTTCAGTACAAAGGTGCAAGAAATTATCAGCATAATTATAGCACACAAACATTGTCATCTAACTCCTCGCACGTAGCCGAAATAAGCCGCCAAGTAATGAAGCATATAACGAGCTGAAAAATCGTCCTCAAGTATTTTATACTTTAAATTTGCGAAAGATATTGTTGTTTGTCTCCGTGTTGCCCATCGCAAAAGTGAGGAGTCATCACATTAGCTCACGGTTTTCATGAGTTCTGTCCACTATTTTCTCCGGGAAACAAATTTAAAACTTCAATTCTTACCTTACAGTAGTCCGTTCTTTTACCTTGCATTCGACAACGAATTAAAGGCGAACAAAGCGAATCCGGCACTCTTATTTTATAAGTAGCAAGCCGCATGAAGTAA